CACATGGCGATATCTTTGCAGTTTTATCCTGCTCTATGCCGTCTCCAGGCTCTCGGGTTCAGGAAGCCCCCGAAGTTTCCGGTCACGGCCCTCGCTGGTCCTCATCCCCGTCCTCAGGATTTTGGACGGTGCGAATTCTTGCTGGGGCGCTGCGACAAGTCTCTGGCTGCTGGGAATTCGTCGGCTTTCGACCGTTTCTTCCACAGTGCCTACAAGCAGTGGGCCAACAGGACGGAGGATGAGCTGGAGGCCATCTTTACTTCCCTCTCCCTCACCCACGTCGCCCTGCCCTTCAAAGGAGCTCGGGGCAAGGATCCTGAAGTCATCTGGTCGTCTCTCTTACGCAAGGACTTCAAGGACATGAGATACCCCCAGCTGCACGCCATGAGGTGGGTCTCGTCACGATTCAAAGCGGTGCTTTTCTTGTCTCGGAAGTTTGCCGCGGTTTCTGGCATCTCGGGGGCGGACGTGGAGCTGGCCATATCCCTGGTCCACGCGCTTCGGGAGGCTTCAGACTGGATTAAAACCAAGCTGGGAGATCTTCGACCCCACCTCGACGCTATACAAGATGTTCTCAGAGGCTGGTCAGAGGAGAATATTTTTCCGGAGTATTTACAGGAGATGGAGGATATCTATTCCAGCCAGAAGGAGATGCTAGGAGCATGCATTGCCTTTCACGACAAAGTCGCGAAGCAAGATTGGCACGCTTGGCTCACGGAAAACATCAACAAGGGAGCTAAAAACGCACATTCGGCCATCAAGGACCCGCTCTCCTGGACCCCCTCCACCACCCTCTCCTCGGGAGGTGTGGTGGTGTCTGACCCCCTGAGTCTCTTGGACAAGGAATCCAAGCGTTTCAGTGCTCTGTGGAAAGTCCGGGAGGGGGCTCCGAAGGTCAAGATTAGACATGCCCCCGGTTTGCCCGAGCTGTCGGTGCAGGATTTGAGGAGAATCAGCAGGTCCTATCCTGAGAGGGGCGCGGTGTCCATCGACGGCTTCCATGTCAGGCACTACCAGTACATGAGTGATGCTAGCCTGACCGTGTTGATCCGCATTTTTGGGCTCATGGAGAGTTCGGGTATTCTTCCGTCGCAGCTTCGGGCTGTCTTGATAGCGCTCCTGACCAAACCAGTCGGAGGATTTCGACCGATCGGCGTTTTCCCGTCACCATACAGAATCTGGGGGAAAGCTCGTCGTCCTCTGGCGGACTCCTGGGAGGCTACGAACGCTCGTGGTTACTTTTCGGCTGGGAAGCATCGGGGAGCCCTGGACACGGTGTGGAGGCAGAGCTTCCGTTCCGAACTGGGAGTTCGTAAAGGTATGTACTCGGCTTCGGTTCTGTGGGACATGTACAAATATTACGAAGAGATCTGTTTAGACACGCTGCGCCTGAGAGGAATTAAGCATCAATTCCCGCTTGCTCTGCTGAATGTTTGTATAGCGGCTTATCAGGGTGCTCGGTACATTTCTTTGGCAGGGATTGTATGCGGCCCACACTTCGCCACTCTGGGAGTGATTGCTGGATGCAGCGAGGCGACCACCATGATTAGGATCCACTCTCTCGACGCGTTCGATACGATCCCGAGGACGTTGAACGGAGTCGACTGCCCCGAGATTTACACGAGCGACGGCACCCTTTCGATCGATAAGTACCGAAGCTTCGACGCCTACATCGACGATACCAATGTCTCGGCCATAGGAATGTGGAAGTTCGTGCTCGACTCAATCCTCCTCATGACTTCCATGTTGTATTACGCTATTAAGGAAATGATGGGAAACAATATTTCTCTCGAGAAATGCGCCTTGATTTGTTCCTGCCCGGCATTAGGAAAAGCAATTGAGGAGAGGCTGGGCGACCTCAGCGGCGGCTGGAGGCCTTCCGCAGCCAACCTTGGAGTCGATGACGCTGCAGGAGCTAGTTTCAGAGCTGGCAGGACCACCAAGTTAGCCAAGAGAGCACTCAGGAAGGCGCACTTGACACGGAAAGTTCGGCGTCTTAAAACTCTCAGGGGCCACTTCGGACGCAAGGCGCTCAAGGTTTTCGTTTCTGGGCCGCTCCCAGGGTATATTTACGGCACAGAAGTAATGGGTATGACGTCGACGGAGATCCTCGAGCTCAGGAGGCTCGCGGCCAGTGTTGTAAAACCCTCCTCGGGTAGCCGATCTTTAACCGTGTTGAGTTTGCTCGATGGGGACCCGGTATGGTATGCGGAGGTGGCCCCGATCGTTCGCTATTGCAAGGAAGTCTGGCTCCTACGGGCGAGGCTTTTTGGTGGATGTCTGGACTGGGCGACTTTGAGGTCATCTTGGGAAGCGGTCTTCGGCGACGGCGCCAAGAAGCAAAAGCTTTCCTGGAAAACGGTTTCGGGGCCTATGTCGGCAATGTACTTGTCCCTGATGAGGATCAAGTGGTCCATGAAAAACTTCACGACTTTCGTCGACGATTTCGGCAATGAGATATCGTGCACGCTGTTGGGGCCAGAACTTATTAAGAAACTCCTCCGTGTCGCCGTCCTCCGACAGCTTGAGCGTCAAGCGCTTCACAAGCTGGTGCAGGGAGGGATCTTCGATGGTGTCGACAGCGTGCGGCAGCAAGATTGGTTTGCGGCCTGCTTAGCTGCCGGAGGCGATCGCCCTAGCGATCAAGTCCCCCGTTTGTGCTTCGATCTGATCACGACGGCTCTGCACTCGACCAAGTTGTCTGCTTTTGAAAAGGGTTGCCTGCGATCGCTAGCGTGCAACGCCATATGGACTCAGGCGCACGCCAGAGCTAAGGGATACCAGGTGGAACTTGCTTGTCCCTTGTGTGGGAAATGCGTTGATTCTTTATTTCACAGACTCTGGGAATGTGAGGCTTGTGCCGATGTCAGGGCAGAGCTAGTGGACGCGGCAACGATTCGCAGAGCATGTTCAGCAAGAGACGAAGGCTCCTTGGACCTGATCCTGTTTCTCACGGGTGCTTTTCCTCATCCTGGAGACGTGGTTCCTCCTCCGATTCGACAGCAGGGCATGGAACACGTTGTTCTCCAGTATTTCCAGGAAGGGTTCGAGGAGGCTGGGATTGCTTTCGCGGGTCCTGAGTCTTTGAGCTTCTCTCGGCACGTTTTCCTCGATGGCAGTTGTTTCAAATCGGCAATCAAAGAATTGTCCCGAGCAGGCTGGGGTTTCGTGAGGACTTCGGACCAGGGGGCTCTGCTGGGGTGGTGTTACGGCCCCGTTTGGTCCCACTTCCCGCAGACTCTGCAAGCGGGGGAATTCTCTTCTTTCGCTGCTGCGGGCGTTAACCTCGATGACAAGGCCTCTCTGTATTCGGATTGCGCCAGTGTTGTTTCGGCTTGTGCCCGGGGCGCCCAGGACCGCCTCTCTGGCAAACGGGCCTATGCCGGCTCAGTCTTGGAAGGGTTTTCCGGCGCCTCGGGAAAAATCGACACTGTCATCAAAGTCGCGGCTCACAAGGAGCTCGACGAGGCTGGAATCTCGGATGTTGAATATTTCAAAAGACGCGGGAACCAGCACGCCGATACAGCGGCCAAGTTGGGAGCCGCGCTGCACCCTGCCCCTGGCCCCGAGGTCCAGGACACCATCAATTTTTATATTAAGACCAGCAAAGCGGCAATTCGCTTGGCCACGAATCTTCTCCCACTGTGGCCAAAGTGCGATTTGTCTACCGCCCAGTACTTGAAGCCAGATCCTCGGCCCAAGGCCTCCAGTGTCATGGAACACGATTGGGCCTGGCAAGGAGAATACTGGCAATGCAATGTGTGCCTTAGGGGTACCAGGGCGGAAGTCATACCTAGCGCTCGCTCTATCCAGTCGGCCAAACCTGCCCCTGGGAGGTGCGCGGGTCTGCCCAAGCTCACCCCGTCTCTGCTGTCGGAGATGGGTCACAATTGCGCTCTCGTGGATTGCTCTGATGGTTCATTTCTCTGTATCTGTTTGCGGTGCCACTTCTATAGCACGGGTGGCCGTGTTAAGAAGCTCGGAGAGCCCTGCAATGGACGCGAAGATCCAGGGGCGGGCAGGACCGCCTGGAAATATTTTTGTGCAGGGAGGCACCCTCAGGAGAGGAAGCGTGCCAAGAATGTCAAGTTTCTCCCTTCCCCTTGGACGCCTCCCTTTTTCGGCTGCGTCCCGGAGCCCACTCCCGGAACAGCTGCCTCGTCTTCCAGCGGGCCTCCGCCACTGCCAGGGTGCCAGCACACGACTGGTGTCCTACCCGGCCAGCCTGCCCCAGCGGCGCCGTCCACCCCTGATGAGGGCGTAACGCTCCGTCGAGTCTCTGTTTCATTGCGGCCCCAGGCTGCAGCTGGCGCCGTCGCGAATCACAGCGGTGGAAATAGTGAAGACTCCGACTAATTCGTTTGTACTGGCAAGTTTGGCCCCCGTCCAGGTGTAGCCATTGGTCCCCTTGGGCCAGTGGTGTGCCTGTGAGGGGCCTCTCGCCCGCGGGTCTTTGTGCTATGGCCCTCCCCCCCGGGACCCATTGCCACCCGCGGCCACTGCTATCACCTTCTTCGGCGAAATCTGGGGGATGCCAGCCCATCCTCGGTGCAGTGTTCTCGACCTTTGCACTGCCGTGCTGTGCGGTGCGTGTGGCATAGCACAGCACATTGGCCGAGTCTCCCCAGGTCAGCTGACTGCTGCCTTGTAAGCGTCGCGGTGAAAAAAATCCTCCTCCTCCTCCTCCTCCTCCTCCTCCTCCTCCTCCTCCTCCTCCTCCTCCTCCTCCCCTTCCTCCTCCTCCTCCCCTTCCTCCTCCTCATCCTCCTGCCCCTCCTCCTCACCCTCCTCCTCCTCCTCCTCCCCCTCCTCCCCCTCCTCCTCCTCCTCCTCCTCCTCCTCCTCCTCCTCCTCCTCCTCCTCCCCCTCCTCCTCCTTTTTCTGCCCCTCCGCCCCCTCCTCCTCCTCCCCCTCCTCCTCCTCCTCCTCCTCCTCCTCCTCCTCCTCCTCCTCCTCCTCCTCCTCCTCCTCCTCCGCCGGCCAGCCCCCCGCCCACCCAGGTGGACTGGGTCCGAGTGGGCGACGTCCCGCTCCCGCTGCCTGTGCCCCCCGGGGGCAGGAGTCGTCAGCAGCAGATCAGGGGAGCCTTCTGCTCAGACCCCTGGCCGTCAGATACGGCGGCGGCATTGGATTAGGAACGTCTTCCTGGGGCCCAGACCCTGGCGCATTCCTTCTTGTTTCAAGGAGAGGTGGGTGGCCCACGTTTGCACCCCATCGGTCGCGAGACCCTGGGTTCCTTATCGCAGGTATCCTTGTATCTAAAACCTCCATTGTACCACGACGGGAGTTTTATCGTTATTTTCCGCCTCTCGCGGCCCTCGCTGGGCAGTGGGGGCCTTCAACAAACCATTCAGGACGAAACGTAGGTCCTGGGGAATGGGTGGAGGCCTTCGGGGGTGGCCGTGGAGGCTGGGTCTTTGGAGTACATTCGTGCGCGCTAGATATGGCAATCAATGGGGGCGCGCCGAATTAGCGTTGATATGCCATCGACATGCCGCCGGCTCGGGTCAAGTAGCGTCAATTATCACCGATTCGCAAGAGCCAGCAAGGTGGCATGGGAGGCTCGCGTGAGCTGCCACCGAAGGGGTTGTCGAGAGTTGAGGTTTCGGCCCCCCTCCGAGGCCAGGACACTGCAAGCCAGGATTTGAACATGCCAGCTTGAGCCGAAGGAGAAACAGTTGCACAAACATAAACGTTCGAAGCTCCGTGCTGACTTCTTGGACCTCCGATGGGTCCCCCTTGCGGCGCATCTGGCGCCGCCTTTGGCGCGCTCCGCGCGCCAGGGTGAGGGGTCCAGCGCAGATCCAAGAAATCCGCACGGAGGTCCGAAAGTGTAAATTTACGCCCTTTAATGTTCCTGTATGGAGGGAGCAAAGAATGGATAATGCTTCGATCCACGGTTGCGGTTCCCTCGGGCGCGCCACTGTCTTGGTTGATCAGGATGTCCCAGATTACCCAGCCCCCAGTCGTGATGTTTTTTTCGTAGCGTCGGTCCCCACAGGGCTCGACCCATTCCCCTGGGACCCTTTTTTAATAGCGTTTTGACGGTCCCCAGGCCTGGTGAGGGCCCCGAGAGGCCGAAAATAGCACAACACTTCCCGCCGTGATTTTTTCATGGCTAGAGGGGGTCTGGGTTACGGGGCCTTGAAGTTTCGAGGATCGGAGCGTCTCTCTGTTCCTTTCTGCTTCCAGGGGGCTCGTTGTCGCCACGGGTCGTCGTCGCTTGCGAGCCCTGCACTGGCGGGTGGGTTTGGCCATGCTTGGGCTTGGCTCTCGCACCAGCTGCCCCCACGGAGGTCTTCGGGGCCAAGAGGGGCAGTGTTGACTGGGGGACCCAGACCCCCTCGAGCCATGAAAAACACGGCGGCAGGCTCCAGCTATTGTCGGCCTCTGGGGGCCCTCCCCAGGCCTCGGGACCGTCAAAAACGACCCAGTATGAAGAATGAGTCCCAGGGGAACGGGTCGAGACACGGTGTGAAAAAATCATGACGCCGGGTCAGATGAGGAGAAGGGACCCATACCATTAGTTGTCACCGTTGGACTCGCCTCGAATTTCTGGTGAGAACGCGTCACAGGAGAGGTCTGAGGAGTAGCGGTATTGGTACCTTTTGGTTTCCCCACTGTCCAGGGCCGTTGCTTGGACATCTCCCCGGACATCATGGCCCCCTCTTCCTGTCTCAGCACGTCCCCCTGGCCCCCCCTCCTCCTCCTCCTCCTGCTCCTCGTCTTCCTCCTCCTCCTCCTCCTCCTCCTCCTCCTCCTCCTCCTCCTCCTCCTCCTCCTCTCCTCCTCCTCCTCCTCCTCCTCCTCCTCCTCCCCCTCCTCCTCCTCCTCCTCCTCCTCCTCCTCCTCCTCCTCCTCCTCCTCCTCCTCCCTCCTCCTCCTCCTCCTCCTCCTCCTCCTCCTCCTCCTCTCCTCCTCCTCCTCGCTCCTCCTCCTCCTCCTCCTCCTCCTCCTCCGTCCCTCCTCCTCCTCCTCCTCCTCCTCCTCCTCCTCCTCCTCTTTCCTCCTCCTCCTCCTCCTCCTCGTCCTCCTCCTCCTCCCTCCTCCTCCTCCTCCTCCTCCTCCGTTCCTCCTCCTCCTCCTCCTCCTCCTCCTCCTCCTCCTCCTCCTCCTCCCCCTCCTCCTCCTCCTCCCCTCCTCCCCCCCCTCCTCCTCCTCTCCTCCTCCTCCTCCTCCTCCTCCTCCTCCTCCTCCTCCTCCTCCTCCTCCTCCTCCTCCTCCTCTTTCCTCCGCTTCCTCCTCCTCCTCCTCCTCCTCCTCCTCTTCCTCCTCCTCCTCCTCCTCCTCCTCCTCCTCCTCCTCCTCCGTCTCCTCCTCCTCCTCCTCTTCCTCCTCCCTCCTCCTCCTCCTCCTCCCTCCTCCTCCTCCCTCCCTCCTCCTCCTCCTCCCCTCCTCCTCCTCCTCCCCCTCCTCTCCTCCTCCTCCTCCTCCTCCTCCTCCTCCTCCTCCTCCTCCTCCTCCCTCCTTTCTCCTCTTTCTCTCTCCTCCTCCTCCTCCTCCTCCTCCTCCTCCCCTCCTCCTCCTCCTCCTCCTCTCCCTCCTCCTCCTCCCTCCTCCTCCTCCTCTTCCTCCTCCTCCTCCTCCTCCCTGGTCCTTCTCCCCCCCCCCCTTTGCCCGCGCGCGTGCCTCGCGCCAGGAGCTGCGACCTTTCCCCTCGGACGCCCCTCTTGGGATGCCTCCGAGGGAGAGCATGCGGCGAGCCCGGGGGGGCTGGAAGCGAGGAAGGGGCGGGCCCTCTCAGAGGGCTCGGGAGTCCATAAGCTCCAGGCCTCGGAGCAGGTGGGGTCGGAGGATCGCGCCGTCTCGCCGATGCATCGCCGATGTGTTTCGATGTGGAGCCCGATTTGCTTCACGTGGACGCCGCCGATGCATCGCCCACGTCGACGATGCATCGCCGGTGCATCGCCGATACATCGTCGATGCATCGCCGATGTATCGGCGATGCGGCGCGATCCTCCGACCCCATCTTCTCCGACCCCATCTAGGATGCCTCTATAAGCCTTCCCCAAAGACCCCACAAACTTTTCAGAAGGCGCAAGAGCTTCTGAGAAGCCCCGCCGCCTTCTGAGAGAGCCTTCTCCTTCTCACTTCCCCCCCTCGGTTTCGCCGCCGAGAAAGGTGTGTGTGTGTGTGTGTGTGTGTGTGTGTGTATGTGTGTGTGTGTGTGTGTGTGTGTGGGGGGAGGGGAGGGTTGCGCCGCATCCCGAAGCATCGGCGAGGCGGCTCCATGCGGAGCCCGATGAACTCCACGCCGACTGCGGCGATGCATCAGCGTTGCGGCGCGGTCCTCCGACCCCTCTTCCTCCGCTCGCTCGCCGCCGAGAAAGTTGCGGGGGTGGGAGGGGGTGGGGGCGGGGGCGACGCGGGGCGGGGGGCCCGGCCAGGAGGGCCAGCGGGATCCGCGGTGCAGGGCCTGGGCTGGCTACCAGGCTCCCTGTCAATTCTGGAGGCAGGCTGTCGGTCGGCTGCGCGTGAGATTAAACCGGGCCTGTCCCTCTACAGGGGGAATGTTCAAACACAGTTAAAAATAGTCTGGGGACGATGTATCAATGATTTGTTGAGTATCCCCCCGATCACCGAACGCGAGGCGGCAGTGGCGTCCCGCGCGCCTGCGAGTTGGGCCCCCCGCGGCGCCCAAGAAGCCGCGCACCGACGGTCACTCTGACAGTGGAAGCCCCTGCCAAGAAGCTCCCTGCTCGCCTCCAGGGTGCCCTGGGTTTCTCGGGTTTGGATGGTTTTGCCGTTGAAAGCGTGACGCTCCCACACCAAAGATCAGTCGACGTCCTGGGGTCTCAGGGTTGGGTGTCTTGCTGACGTTTTTGTGGTGTTGAGCGTCGCCGCGCGGCCGACGTCCTGGGGCACACGCCGCCTGCCCAGCTCACGACCGGAAACTCTTGTGGATACCAGTGCCGCTCCACCGGCTTGGGCCCACCACGATTCGGCGCGACAAAGCTCCTCCTCGTCCTCCTTCTCCTCCTCCTCCGCCCTCCTCCCCCTCCTCCTCCTTCTCATCCTCCTTCTCCTCCTTCTCCTCCTCCTCCTCCTCCGCCCTCCTCCTCCTCCTCCTCCTCCTCCTCCTCCACCTCCTCCTCCTCCTCCTCCTCCCCCTCCTCCTCTTCCCTCCTCCCTCTTCCATCCTCTTTCCTCCCTCCTCCCGGTCCACTTCTCGAGTAATTTTGCTCGGGGGCAAGTGTGAGCGGGGTAAATGGCTCGGCGGGCTCTGGGTAAGGGAGGCGGGCAAGTAGCACAGGCAGCAGCGGGAACACGGTCGGCTAACACTGTAGCCATTTACCCCGCTGACCCCAGCCCCGAAACAGTCATATATTCATATTTACCAGTCCCCAGGCGTCAACGTCCCGATCCTTGCCGAGCCTCCCACCCCGCGGAGCGGCGCGACAGGCTATCCACTCGTAGAGCATAGCGTGTCCCTGGGGCCGCTGCCGCGAGACGCTAAGCAAAACTTCCTGAGCCTCCTCTCCCCCATCGTCTCCCTCCCTCCCTCATCTTTCCTTCCTCAGTCTATCAGTCCCTCCCCTACTTTCTCCTTCATCGTAACTCCCTCCCTTCTTTCCTAATCCTCGTTAGCTGGTTGCCCTCTGTCCCTGAGGGTCCCCACGCCACCTCTCCCGAGCAGCTCAAAGCCCTCCAGCGTGTCTGCAGGGGTCTGCCTCTGCAGCAGGTGACCATGGTATGGGGAGATATCGATGCCGACGCCCCCCTTCCTTCAGCATTTCTGCACGCCCGAGTCTCGCGTGGTGCTGCGCACGGTCAGACATCCTCGATTCCATCGCTCGCTGGATCGCCGAGGCTGCTCCGCAGGCCTTGGGACTCCCGCTGCAGCTCCGTCGCGGTGTCGGCCCGTCACGCCGCGGGTCCCACCCCGCGCGCTCTTCTTCGGAAATTGGAACATATACATTGCCAGTCGCTGGTTTTGTTTCAATCCCAGGACTTTTTTGAGGGTCGGGGACGACGTGGGGGTGGTGTGGTGTATATTTCTCCCCCCGTTCCCAAGGGAAACAAGGAAAAATGTATACACCAGGATCCCGTATACACCAGGATCCGCGTTCCTGATGCGAATTTCAGCGCAGGGTCGGAAAAAAGCGTCGGTGTATAGAGCTCGTTTCCCTACTTCTGCCAGCGCTGCGCTTGATTGGGGCGGTCTTCGGCCTCGTGCTCGTGCGCTTGCCTCCTGGCCTGGGCAGGGGGCTCGTGTCGCTTCGCCCCGGCGCTGCTCCCTTCTCTCGTTCCCGCCGCACCTCCTGCCCGGGCCTTCGGACTTCCTGGGGCCACTCGTCGGCGTCGCCTTCGGCCACAGCACCTCCGTGCCCAGCGAGCCTCGCCGACCGATTTGGTTCCAGGCGTGCTGCCCGTGGCGGGCCTGCGGGGGAGGGAGGCGCCCGGCCCGGGCCGCGGAGTCCGCACGCCGGGTCCTGGGCCCAGGACGTGTCTGCGAGAGGTCGGTCTCGGTGCGCTCGCTGCCTTCCTCGGGAGCCGCGCCGCGCCCAGGCGAGACCCCGTTCGGCGCGGTCGAGGCGAAGAGCAGCGTCAGGACAGCCTGCGGATATGCACTGCGCCGTGCCCCCGATGAGGCCTGTGGGCTCCCACGGCTGCCACTGCGGCGCATCTGCGTCCGACGGATCGTTCCATGCGCACGTTTCCTTGAGCTTCTGAGCAGCACGCGCATCTTCTCTGGTTATCCCGTGTCCTTGTCTCCCCACCCAGGTCCAGTGCTCCCAGCGGCGTGGATCCTTGCTTTGGATTGCACTGCTACGTCATGAGAAATGGTACTGACCTGATCGGAAAACATCGAAACGCACTGGCTGCGCAGCCATTCCATGGTTGTGGTCCATGCCGCTACCCCCACGCAGAAAGGTTGGGCACATGTGGCGGACTGGTGGAACGCAAGTGTAGGACGTGAGAGCTCAGAGGGTATATAGGTAGATGCTGGCCAGCGTGGACACCACACAGCTATCTATGCTGGGTCGTCGATGGGAGACACTACATCTTATATATATATATGTATTCAGCAGAAGGTACTACCTATGTGCTGCACTATCTGCGATACAACCTCTGTGGTGCCATATATGTGGTGTGCGATCTGTGCTGAGCAATCTTTGTTGTGTAATTGATATTGTGCGATCTAGGTTGTGCCATCTCCGTGTTGCAATCTATGTTGCGCAATATGTGGTGTGCTATGCGGTGCAGTCTATGCGGTGCAATCTACGTGCTGCAAACTACGCCGTGCCGTCCATGTAGCGCAACCGGTAAAGCAGCGCAAAGTAACGCAAGCAAAGCAATACAGACATATCAATGCAATTCAATGCAAAGTAGCGCAACGCAATGCACATGAACGCAATGCAGTGTTGAACAATGCAGGGGAATGCAAAGACATGCGAAGCAAAGCGAAGCAATGCACAGCACTTCAAATCAAGGCAGAGCAATGCAAATCAACGCAAAGCACTGCAAAGAAAGACAACGCAATGCAAACCAATGCGGAACAATTCAATGCAAAGCAAAACACGGCACAGCAATGCGATGAAATGCGAAGCTGTGCAAGCCCAGACGACGGGCAGCGACGAGTCGACGACGGGTCGGCGACGGGGCGGCGACTGCGACAACATAGCCGCCACCTCCGCCCGCATGCCCCGACGACGGGCGACGACGGGGCGGCGACGGCCACAACAGCCGACAGCCCCGACCCGCAGGCCCAGTTCCCCAGAAAAGAAGCAGGAGCTCTCAGGTGCCATTACTATATGGGGAAAAAGGACCGAGGGAGAGAGGGACAGTGACAAAGCATTTTGTGCACACGCCCCCTAGTGCACCTGGTCAACGTGTGAATTCCAGTCCGTTGTTCGCATTTTTTCTCGACCGCTGCATGTTACGCCGCAAGGAAGAGCAACGGGACCGGCAACTCCCAGGCCAGCGCGCATGCCCTTCAGTGTTGGGGAGGTTTGCTTTTGTTTCTGCGCTTGGGCTCCAGTCAGCGAGACTGAAAGGCTTGGCGAGTTCACCGGTGGCACGGGTCCCTGAACTGAGGAATCGGGGGAAGGGTCACGTGGTATTCTTGTGCACCTTGGGCCCAGGGAGCACGTCCCCGAGCGTGCTCGGTTGCGTGCCTGACGCTTCGCGATGGTATCCCCACTCGCCCACCCAGAACAGAGTGCTAGGAGGTTCAGCAGGGAAGTGGCGAAACATAGAGAGGGGACCCCCGTCAAACCAACGAAGGAATCAGCTCCATTTGTTTTCAAATCGCAAATCTTGACCTGGGGGCCTCTTTGAGGTCTCTGGGGGCCTTCCGGGGGCCCTTGTGGGAGCTTGTGGTGCTCTAGGCCCAGAGGGCTGGTGGAATCATTGAACCTAAGCCCCGTCATTGCGGATGGTGAGCGGGCTGCGTTGTTGTGGATGCGGAGCTCGGGCGCCGATGTGACAAACTCGCCGCAGGTGCCGAGTTATCCAAACAGTCACACTGCATGCTTCAATGTTTCGCAAAGCAATATGTGTGTTTCGCGGGGCGAAGTATTGGCATGTCGCACGGCTCGAAAACGAATGCAAAGAAGCCTGCTGCAGGCGGCGATTTGTTGCAAGAAATGGGCGTGGTTCGCGAGTGGTTCGCTTGTGTGGATGACAGGCGTTGGTCTCGGGTGGATGGCGTCGCGAGGCGGGTCGCGGATGGGTCACGGGATGGGGCAACGACGACGACAAGAATAACGAGAATTCGAACCGTGGAGCTCAACATCAGCCACGCACCCAGAGACAGTGCACGGCCGTTCGGCCCATTCATCCTTCTGGTCGTTGACGCGGTGAGTGTCCCCTCCGGCCCATCCAGAACCGGTTCGCAGGTTAGTTGCCTTGACCAGGGAAATGTATGAGCATGCAGTGGAACAAATGTGGAGGCAGCCGTCAATCCGAAGTTCGTGATCATCCTGAGCGGAGCTTTCGATGCGAGAGCCTTTTGGATACTTGTTGTGGCTGTCCTTGGGCAAGGTTTGGAGGCCCCAGCCTTTGGTGGTCTCTTCCCTACGACATCGAGCAAAGAAGGGACGGCGTCAATCGGCCATGCCCCTTCGGAGCCCGAAGCGAAAAGGCGAGAAAGCAAAACACGGTGACCAGACACCGCTTTTTGTATTTGGTATGTGGAGAGTGTTCTAGGGAGGCTCCGTGGCCGCCTCGAGCAGTATCGAGGCGATCTCGGGGCATCTTGGAAGCATATTGGATCCGTCCTGCTCAACCTTGGACTATGTAGTGCCCTCTTGGAGGCCATGTTAGAGGCAACCTTGGGCCATCTCGGCCCAAGGTTGAACTACAGCCTCGGGCGGACGAGCACGCTGCGACAGCAGTGGCAGCCGCCTGCAGGGTTCGACGAGGTGCCTTCGCCTGGCAAGCTGCGCGAACGCCAACCCGACACCATTAGGGGGCATGTGTGCCTAGGGGGATGAAGCATTCGCAGCAATCCCTTGAGACAGAACTCAGTTCGTGCCGTCCTCGTCATCTTGCTTCATTCCTCCCTCTCGTGCTCATGCCTCCCCTCACCCCTTCCCCCGGGACTTCACCCCTCTCCTCGTTTCCCCGTCCCCCTCTCCGAGCCCGCTTCTCCTTCCCCTCGCCTCTTCCCCCTCCCGCCGATGCTGCTTCTGCTCCGCCTCCTTGTCTCCCCCCCGGCCGCATCCCGTTCCTGCCCCCCCCTCTCCCACGCCTTTCTCTTATTCGTAGTTCCTCCCTGGCGCAACCCGAGGCGTGTGGGTATGGCGGGCCTGGGCGTTTCGCTTGATGTTTCTTGGCGACGTATGATCTGGAGGCTAAGAGATCGCAACGGTTTCACGGATGGAGGGCGAGTGGTTTCCGACATGCGGTTCTCGGCACAGCGCCGCGCACATTCGCTTTAACAGTCTGCGAGAGCTTCACCGATGTAGGGCCGGGTGGTCTTCAAACTGTGGTTCTCGTTACGGCGCCGTGCACAATCGTCTTCAATGTTGCAAGAGTGTCATGGATGGTGAGCGGTACGTGTTTTTAAAGGATGTTTTAGCTTTAGCGCCGCCCGCGTTCGTTGCGCACATTCGTTTTCAACAAATTTTTTTCCAGGTTTCACGGGTGAAGGGCGGGTGGTTTTCAACATGTGTTTCCCGCCCTAGCGCCGCGCACATTTGTTTTAAAAGTTGGCGGGAGCTTCACGGACGCAAGGTGGCTCCTTGTGAACATGTGGTTCTTGTTTGAGCTCCGCGCACACTCGTTGCAAAAGATAGCAAGGGCTTCACTTCACGGATGGAGGGCGGCTGCTGTTTTTCAAATGCTGTTCTCGTCCGAGCGCCGCGCACATTCGTTCTAACATTCTGGGAGAGCGTTGCAGCCTCCTCCTTCTCCTCGTCCTCCTCCTCCTCCCCCTCCTCCTCCTCCTCCTCGTTCTCCTCCTCCTACTCCTCCTCCTCCTCCTCCTCCCCCTCCTCCTCCTCCTCCTCCTCCTCCTCCTCCTCCTCCTGCAGGATTCTGGGAGGGCGGGCGCTTTTTTTGTTCCAGCGTCGTCCTCGCCCTGGCCGCGCGCACGCCCGCCCCCGAAGACGTGCACGAGCTTACGGGCGGAAAGGGTCCCGCCTTCCACGCCGCGGTTCTCGCCCGTTGGCGCCGCGCACGTCCGTCGCAGAAGCTGGCGTGAGCTCCGCGCCTGGATCGGGCCGAACGAAAGGGGGGGGATAGGGGAAGGGGGGGGGGGTACGAAATCTGCTGCATGCAGCTGGTTTCGGTCCCGGAGGCGCCAGGAAAATCAGCTACGTGAGCTGATTCTCAAACCCCCCCTTTGCTATCCCCCCCTTTCGCCCGGCCCGACTGGAGGACGGGTGGTTTTCGGAATGTGGTTCTCGCCCCAGCGCCGCGCACAGTCGTGGCAAAAGTTGGCAGCAGTCTCACACATGGAAGCCCTCCTGCTATTTTTCAGATGTTGGCCCTCGCCTGAGCGCCACGCACACGTGTTCGAAAGGTTCGGAAGAGCTTGGCGGATGCTTATGTTAGACCGTCCCAGGAGTGGTGTTCTGGCACGATCGGGGGGTTGTCAGGGCGCAACAGTCACGTTGTTTCGCGGCTTTGGAGTCGCTGGAAAGGTGTTCTGGCACGATCAAAGGTCGTCAGGACTCAACGGTAAAGTTGATTCGTGGAGTTGAATCCCAAGGAACGGTGTGGTGTCACGATTGAGGCTCTCAGACGGTTTTCAATGGAACACACTCCGAAATGAAAATCAGCTTTTCTGGGGACCCATGAAGAGGGAACTTGGGGGGGAGGGTTTGTTGCATCATCGTTGATGCGTCTTGGGTTTGCACTGGTCCTCCTCCTCCTTCTCTTCCTCCTCCTCCTTCCTCTTCCTCGAGCAAGTGGCACCACGAGTGCTGCAAGCACGACTGGGACTAGCAGCTAGTGTACTTGGTAGCGTCCAAAACCCGGAGAGCGAAGGGAGCCTAAGGAACTGGGAAGCTCCCCTGCAGCGCTGCTGAAGCGCTACCAGAAACGCTTCCATGCGTGCCTGCACGCTTGCAGGCACGCGTGGAAGCTTGCCGGAAGCTCTCCCGGACCAGCTGCCGGCTCAAACGAACCCCTGTGAGGCCTGTGGACCGCCGTGGAGGAGCTCCTGGCGGCCACCACCACCGTCCGGCTTCTAATCTTAAACCCTTTAGCTCTCAGCGAGCTCTCCGGGAAACACGAGTGCCAGAAACATCCCGAAGGGCGTTGTAATTTGGAGCTGCGTAGGAGGGGAAGCAGGGATGGATCACCTCTCCTAACATCGACGCCGTGCCCACGGGGAAAGGGAAAAGGAGGAGGAACCTCAGAGGGCGAAGGGGGCTGCTCAGAAGCCTTCGCGCCTGCCGGGAAGCCGCCTGCGTTTTCGGAGAAGGCCCAGGCAATTTCTCGGAAGGCTGGATGCCTCCCGAGCATCTGGGAAGGCCCCACCCCCTCTGCCCCCCTACCTGGGCGCAACAAAGAAAACCAAATCCTTGGCGCGGTAGGCAGCAGGTGCGGTTTCAGGGAGAGGCACGCGCTCCCAGCCTCTTGTACCACACAGAGAGGAGAGGCGAATCTCGCGTGTTGCCTGCCAGACGGGCTTTGCACGGAGGGGCGCCATGGGCTCCTCCAGCTTTCAAGGTCTGGGCACCCTACGCGCGGCCAGCTACAGGGGAGGCGCAATACGCTTTCCCACCAATGCTGAGTTGTACGCTACAGGTGGGCGTTTGCCAAAATCTAGGTCGACTCGGGTCACACTGACATGCTGCCGACGGCGCTTCGGGGGAACGCGTAGGTTTCGGCCAGATCTGGGGCACCGCAGGGTCCCCGAACCCTCGCCTTCACCGCTCTCGCCTCTTGCGGACGATGCCGACGTCGAGAAGTCCTGACCGCGCACAGATGCTCTTGTTGCTCTTGTACGTACCAGCTCATAGAGTTCAGGGTTTCCTCCTCCCTGCTGCCCCCCTCCTCCCTTCCCCCTTCCCGGACAATGAGGGATTGGAGTGGCACTTGGTGGAGGGGAATTGCTTCGCTAACTCTCAAGGGCGCGAGCCTCCGGTCAGGGAGGCAGGTTGGGGCCTGGCTGGCTTCTGATCGCCGGGCATGGTTGATTTTTCCCGGAACGGGCACAGGCCCAGGGTTCTTTCTTTTTCCCGGAAAGGGCATCGGCCCAGGGTTCTCTTTTAGTAGGTAAACCTGTCCCCCGGTGCCTGCTTGAGGGAGGCCGGCGAATTTTTTCCCTGATAAATAACGAGGTCGAAGGAGGCCGGCGAATTAAAATTTGAGGATGTCTCGAGCGAAACGCTTGTTTTTGAAATCCCGATCGATAAATCACAGGGTGCGGGCCACTTTTTCGTGTGTTGAGGATGTCTCGAGCGAAACGCTTGCTCCGCAGAGTTTGCCGAGGATGTCTCGAGCGAAACGCTTGTTTTGCAGAGCCGACCGCGACGCGGAAAAGCGCCCCGCGCGAAGGAATTTCGATGATGTCTCGACTAATTCCTTTGTTTTTGTACGATTTCCTGGAATTTTGGCAGGATGTCTCGAGCGAAATGCACGACCCCACCCTAGCACGACCATACCCCAGCACGACCACACCCCAGCACGACCAGACCCCAGCACGACCCCACCCCAGCACGACCCCACCCCAGCACGACCATACCCCAGCACGACCACACCCCAGCACGACCCGACCCCAGCACGACCCTACCCCAGCAAGACCACACCCCAGCACGACCACACCCCAGCACGACCTCACCACAGCACGACCACACCCCAGCACGACCACGCCCCAGCACGACCACGCCCCAGCACGACCACGCCCCAGCACGACCACCCCCCAGCACGACCACCCCCCCAGCACGACCACCCCCCAGCACGACCACCCCCAGCACGACCACACCCCAGCACGACCACTCCCCAGCACGACCACACCCCAGCACGACCACACCCCAGCACGACCACACCCCAGCACGACCCGATCGATAATCACAGGGTGCGGAGCACCCCAGCACGAACCCACCCCAGCACGACCCCACCCCAGCACGACCCCACCCCAGCACGACCACGCACGACCACCCCCAGCACGACCACCCCAGCACGACCACACCCCAGCACGACCACACCCCAGCACGACCACACCCCAGCACGACCCCACCCCAGCACGACACACCCCAGCACGACCCCACCCCAGCAAGACCACACCCCAGCACGACCGCACCCCAGCACGACCTTACCACAGCACGACCACACCCCAGCACGACCACGCCCCAGCACGACCACGCCCCAGCACGACCACGCACGACCAGCCCCACGCACGACCACGCCCCAGCACGACCACGCCCCACCACAGCACGACCACACCCCAGCACGACCACGCCCCAGCACGACCACGCCCCAGCACGACCACGCCCCAGCACGACCACGCCCCAGCACGACCACGCCCCAGCACGACCACGCACGACCACAGCACGACGCACGACCACACCCCAGCACGACCACTCCCCAGCACGACCACACCGCCTTGGTTGAGTGGTTGCCTGTCGTCGTGGAATGTTTCGTGGGGTGTCTCGTGGAATGTTTCGCGGGGTGTCTCGTGAAATGTTTCGTGAGGTGTCTCGTGGAATGTTTCGTGAGGTGTCTCGTGGGCTGTTTCGTGAGGTGTCTCGTGGGATGTTTCGTGAGGTGTTGCCCAGTTGGGTATCATGAAAACGTGTCCATGCTCCACATGTCTATATCCCTTTCCGGGTTCGTGGGTCCATCATGTTACTCGGTAATTCCCCCCGGTGCCGGCGGTATTTCCGCTTGATTCAAAAAAAACAAGGTAAAGTCCAATTCGGCGTGAAAAAAATGCGTTTCGCGCGCGCCCGCTCGAGGAAAGTCGACCCCTCACCTCGGATCCTCAATAAATAACG